TTATTTCTTGTTAAATGAATAGGAAAGCTAACTGCAAGATTTTGCGTCGAATTGTGATTTTCGAATTTTTATCTTGCTTGAAATTGACTTAGTTTCAATTAATATCACTATTTTCAAATTCTTTAAACTAGTAGATACAATTAAATGAAAGTCATAAACGAGTATATTGTAATGTGAGCGTTGTTGGACTATTTCCTGCTTGGATTAGAAGTAGAATTTGAAGTCAAAATTAATATTTGCTTGGTTCAAAACAATGAAAGGAAACAATGCAATAATCATTATTATATCTCAATATTACATTGTAAGTAAAACTATTGGAAGCATTATTTCGTAGATTATGCAAATGTAAATGGAAATTTTCAAATCTTTTTCAAACAAATCGATACATTTTATAACGCCTTTAGTGTTTTTCTGTTGAAAAGTTGGTTTAAAAGGCTAATCGGGAACTTTAGAATGTTGCTTTGGATTAGTAATTAATTAGCTTTTTCTAGCTCAATGAACCATTTGAGCATTATAGTATCTATGCTTCCAACGTGCAATTGGGTTTTAGTGGTACAGCAGAAATAAATGCTTTGGTTTCAAAAAATCCAATCTTATAAAAAAAGGGGAAATGATGGATGGATGGTACTGGTCGGTATGCAACAAAATTTAAAATCTTTAAAAAAAGTTATTTTCGTATAGTATACATAAGGATTTTTTTGGTGACAGCTGTTTTTGTACCTAAAAATGGCGCATCCAAAAGTTTCTGTCAATATTTAACGGCTAGAAGAAGAAAACTACAATGAATGAAATTCCTGATTGTTTCGTATAATATTTTATGAATAACACAATGATGAATATTGATCTTTTCTCTAAGTAATCTTTATCGAATCTCATAAGCGCTGATGGCTGATCAAATGATCACATTTCGTTATTCCATCTATTGCTTATAAAAATTTGATAAATTAAGTAACATTATTAATTACTATGAAAAGAATTTAACAATTATAAACTCGTCTGCATTTTTTTCTTAATGATAAATAACATTACAAACTTTATCCTCTCTTTTGCTAATACATTAAAAAAATGATAAAAAATCGAATCACAAATTTTTAAGAATATTTTTTTAAATAATTAATTTACTTTCACTCCCTTTGCAGAATCAATTGGCGTAAACTTAAGCAAAAATAATTCTGAAGTCCGTTCCAATAAACATATTGTTTATTGGCTAATAATTCAAGTAGTTTGAAATTTTAAAACAAACAGAACAAAATCAATGAGTAAATATTTCTACGATAAGAATATAAAATAATTATACTTTGCCATGTAAATATAGCTGACCACTGAAATATTTTTCGTTAACTTTTAAGTAATATTTAGAAAAATTTAATCACTTTTATAATTACTGCCAATGCATTTTTCAGTAGCGAGCTCTTAACTGTCATCTGATGATAAAGACAGCGGCGTTTGAGAGGGTTAGCAGAGAGATTAACATCGTTGCTTAAATTGCATCACAAATGGCAGACAAATCGAATTCTTTTTATTTAACATTTCGGCGCACATTACCATTTTAATATCCTCATTTCAAAAAAAAGCAAAAAATTATAAATGAAAAATTCTAAAACTGTTTGATTGAAATGACTGACAAACTCATTTCTACTAGTCAAATGATTTAAATGGAAGTATTACGGAAGTTGAAATTTTTAAATAATTGTCTCATTTTATTTTCATCCACTCATTTGAAGGAATGAAAAAAATAATTCCGATATTTTATTAGCAATGTGAAATTTTAATTTTTGTAAAACATTCTGACAAGTATGATCATTTTGGAACGAAATACTAATATGGTAGCATAGCATTCATCTAGTTATTGTTACGTAATAAGTTTAAAATAATTCTAAGCTAAATTGAAAATACTTTTTTAATTCCATGAATTACTGTTACTAAGTAAACATTAACAATAAAAATCATAAATAATAGCTTTCTCGCAGCTATAATGATAATTTGAAAGACTATTCATCTTTATAATGCTTCGTTTTCTTCTATATTTAATGACAACTGTTCTCGTTCTTGGTACCGTGAACCGTTTGTGTAACATTTAGCATATCAATACTTTATACACTAATCTCAATTAAATAACTATGATTTAAATCGATTAGTCTTAACTAATTTTAAGAAATTTATCCAAAATTTTTAATATTTGATTTTGTTAATGTTTTATGCAATTTTTAATGATAAAAATAAAAAAGAGCATTTAAGTATGATTCTAATTTCATATAATCAATAACTTTGCTTTCTTTGGGTCTGAATAATTTTTATCGCAATAATGATTATAAATTGAATGAAATTTAAACGAAATATAAAAAAAGTTTCATAAATTTTTTTACAGCTTCAAAATGTAATTAAACATTTGTGTTCATTAGCTTTTCTAGAATTTTCCTCAATAAATTTTATAATTTCATTACTGCAATAATTAAAAATTTTTGTGCAACAAATTTTAGTGCTACAAATAATTAACTGGCAATTGCATTTTATCTGTAATTGATTTGAACTTAAGAAATTAAAAAATTGCTTTATGCTGTAATCTGTCATATTGGGTAAATAAAATGAAATATTACCATCATTGATAATTCTTAAATTTTAAAACTATTTAATATTTATGCTGTTGCATAGTTAAGAATGATGTACATAATAAAAGAGTGATAAATTTCGATGAATTCATCGGAAAAGTTAGTCATTTTTTTCTCTCATAAAAAAAGTGATACGTGAGAGCGAAGAAATATAATTTCCATTTATTCAAAGGAAGCGATTCATTTTTCTTTTGCAGAAATTTTTCAAAAAAATTGAAATTAAAATGTACAGGAAGAGGATGAACAAATTTGATAAGCTATGAAACAGAAATTAAACTGTTCGATCATTTTTGAGATGAATATTTAAAATGATTGATTCTGTTTTGTTAAATTAAGTATTTTTCAAATAACGAAAATTTTGCAGTAATAATTACGAAATTTCTTTTATTTTTCTTCTTCCATTAACCTTTCCAAATCATTATATTTGTATTTTCATATATTTTGAATTATGTATGGTGCCATTTACATCATTAATGTTTCAGTAATATAAATTAAAAAAAATTGTAATTCGAGAATTAATTAAATTGCAATTAATTATTTTACTTGATATTACTAAAAAATAACATTAATTACTGATTAATTTATAAAAATTCGTTGCAAAAACTTTTTTAATTCTTTTCTTGACAAATTTTATTACGAAATTATTACGAAAACATTATTTCTCTAATCTAAAAAAAAGATTTTAGTTTTCGTTTTCTCTCAACAGTATACATTAGCATATTTTTGAAAACTGATATGAATAATTTTACTAACTATAACGAATTTTAAAGGTGTTACATATGTAGAAATGAATAAGCACATCATTTAATAGATCAATAAAATTTGATGTGCTCATTAAATTAATTATGCTTATTTTTACAGTAGTGATGATAGTAGTAGAAGTAGCCTATGATCAAATCAAATTTTCAAAATATCAATCATACAAACATTTGAAAAGGCATGTGGAAAACTGCAAGGATTTATATGTCGTTTGGTAACAGCTGGTTTCCACCCCTGAATTTTGATGCAAACTTTGAGGAAACAGTGAGGAAGAAAAAGATTGACTGTGATAAAAGGGTGTAATTTTGTTAAATATTACCAAGTGGGATGCACTCTTTAGCTAACCTATTTCTGACAGCTCGCAACAAATGCTTTGTCCTTTAACTGTATCTTATCATTTATCAAGCCACCGTAACAGATGAATAGTTGCTGATATAGATTAATTTCCTGATATAAAGTCTAACGATGATAATAAACAAATAACACAATTATACAATGCAAAGCAGTTACTGTTACTGTATTGTTTGCATCGTCTAAAAATAATACAGCATGTTTGTGCTGTCCACAGTATCATAGAGAGGAGAGGAGAAATGTTATTAATTATAATAATAATACAACAGTATAATTAGCTCATTAAATCGTGGATTCTAGATTTGAAATTAAAGTTGACATGATTTCCAAGTTATTTTTCTGAATATATACGATCAAACAATCAAAATTTTTCAGTTATTATTGAAATTCGTTGCTTTATTAGGATTATTAATTAATTGATTAATTAAAGATAGAAGGCTTAAAATTTTGCCATATCGGATGAGTGATGCAATCGAACAATTAATTCGATCATACCAACCCTCAAATTTTTCAATCGATTCTTTATTTTCTGATGGATTTTGTTTTAGTAATTTAAAATTGATTTATCTTTCTTATATGCTTTTTTAAATAAATTTTCTACCATAATTTAATGTTTACCATCAAAATCAATTAATTATGTGAAACTTCCTATTTTCCGCTAATAAATGTAAAATATGCTTCCAAGGAAATGGATAATATACCTATTTGTTTCGACGTCTTAATCTGATCTTTATTTCGGAATACTGCTACACTACAAATAAGACGGTAATTTACGACTGTGTACATTTAAGTTTATTTTACAGTTAATAACAGTTCAGTGACATATTCTGAGGCCAGAACAACTAATAATTCTATTAAATGTTTTTTGAAATGATGGGTCAATGAGTCTAATATGTCCTGATTAGCTGCATCGATTTTTGGAGTAATTCCGCTATTCCGATAACTCTTTGTTCCTTCATTCACAAACTCTTCACATTTTTCAAATGGTTTTTTCTAGAAAGATTGTATACGGCAATAGTAAATTCTAGCAACAAAGCTATTGTTACCATCTGTTACATCGTTATATAATGTAATCAATCAAACACTGTAAGGGACACTTAATTTTAGCGATATAATCAATGATCATTTAGCCCTTTGCAGAATGGCTTTGAATTTTTAAAAAATTTGATTTATCAGGCCAAAAGTAATTTATCAAAATTTATATTTGAAACCTATTTTCAGCAGACAACATGTCGAGATTGTACAAACAGAGGATGTTTCTGCGTTGGCGATAAGGGAAGTATGGTAAGTTTTGAAGTTTAAATATTGCTAAGATCACTCTCCGCATATTCTAACGAAATAGTCGAAAGTAAATGTTCGGATTGTTTTTCAGGGTATGCCAGGTCCTCAAGGTCCTCCAGGTGCGCAAGGTATACGAGGATTTCCGGGTCCTGAAGGCCTTCCAGGACCTAAGGGTCAGAAAGGTTCACAAGGTCCACCAGGACCGCCAGGAATTAAGGGTGATCGAGTAAGTTTATTGCTAGCAATTTATTTGATTTATTATGACTGTTCGTACTGTAATTTAGGAATTTTACAAATCATTTCATTACTCGATCCTCAATGATGTTTATAATGGTTTTGACACAGTTCAAAAATAAAAAAAATTTGTAAAAATGAACACATTTTTGAATTCATTTTAATTGCACACCTTTTTGTAGGGATTGATTGGTGTTCCCGGTTTCCCAGGGAATGATGGAGCAAATGGACGACCAGGAGAACCGGGTCCACCAGGTGCACCTGGTTGGGATGGTTGCAACGGAACCGATGGTGCTCCCGGAATCCCAGGTTTGCCTGGACCACCCGGTATGCCCGGTTTTCCAGGTACGCCAGGTATTCCAGGACCTAAAGGTGAACCAGCTATCGGATATGGTGGAGCTCCCGGAGAAAAAGTACTACATGCTTTTATCAGATTTCAAAGTTCACCTTTTGTCAAAATTTTAAATGCAATTTTTGATACATTAGCAAACTTATTGACTCATTTGAATCACAGTGTAATATCTCATCAATTATTCTTTATTGAAGGGTGATGCAGGAATGTCAGGAATGCCAGGCTTACCAGGACCACCTGGACGTGATGGATTCCCCGGAATGAAGGGCGATCGTGGTGATATTGGTCCATCTGTTAGTTGCTCAATTACCCACTAATTTTGCAGTACTTTTTAGTATTATGGTCACGTATTAATGTTATTTGATAAGAATTTGTGTGATAAACCATCACAACTAATTGATAAACATATCTGTATATAAGCTTTATCGAATACTAAAATATTTCATTAATGCTAATTAAGTTTGCAGGAAATGCTACGTGAAAATGAAGGAAATTATTCCTTTAATTAAACATAAGTTAATTAGGTTCTTTCTTTTATGAGATATCTTGAATTTAGTGAATTTTCAATTTGGCAAAATTAAATGTAAATGTGAAATTCAGGGACCACGAGGCCCACCCGGTGAAATCGGCGTACCGGGAAATCCCGGTATCGGAAGTATAGGACCGAAAGGAGAACCTGTATGTTTTTCTCAAATTTTTTTTAGAATATATACATGGCTAGTTCTATAAGTAAAACATATTTTTTCTTTTCTTCTTTTTTTTCTTTAATCAAATTTTCAATTTCATATTTTGCATCAAAGGTATTAACTTTGATTTAATGTGTAAGCTACCTTGTATTTTTTAAAGATGCACATTTTTGCATCGGAACAGGAAGAGACAATAATTTTAGGGAGATATTGGTCAGCCAGGACCAACAGGTCCGCCTGGACCGCGGGAATTCACTGGTTCAGGTTCTATCATAGGGCCACGTGGTACACCAGGAGAAAAAGGTGTAAAGGTGCGTTTTTTGAATTTTCTTCGCAAACACAGTGTATTTTAGGGCGATCAAGGACCTCGCGGTCTACCAGGTCTTCCAGGTCCGGTGCCATCAACTGGTGCTAAGGGTACAATCATTGGTCCGCAGGGTTCCCCAGGAATGAAGGGAGAGAAGGTTTGCATACTGTAGATGGACCATAGATGCAGAATATAGCTTAGCTTAATATTATTCCTTTCACAAAATCAGCCGATCTAATTTGAATATTTAAAACAAATCATCACCAAATTTTGTAATTAAAAGGGCAAGTCGCCAAAACTTATTTTCAGCTGATTATAAATTATGCAAAAAAATGAAAAAATCGGCTGAGCTTTTATGCCTGAACCAAATTTGTTTCTTTTTGATCCATAAGACTTTTATATGTGTTCGGTTCCTAGTTGTATGCATGATTCGGTGTACGTGTAAGTGCACTTAGTATGCGTAAATGCAACATGTACACACTATGCTTTCACGCATGCTTCATTTTCACAACATAATGCGTACGTGTCGATAATTGAACATAAATTGATTTCTGATGAATGACAAGAGATGCGCTAGAAGCGCACCATTAAAATGATTGGAAATTTCGAAAAGTTTACTGCCGAAGTTGCTAAAAATGAGTAACTCTTGAAAATTAGTTTCAAAAATTACAAATTTAAAATCTAGCGTAAACAATTTTTCTAGCAATCTGTTTACTTGATAATAATTTAAACTTAGAAATTATTCCAATCATAAAAAGCCTCAAAATCGCAAACTATATGCTCATTTTTACAAACTATTCATGAAAAGTGAGTTTTTGCTATAAAATAATGAGTCTGTAATTCAAAAGTTTTTTAATTTTAAGTCAAAAAAATTAATTTGAAAATGAAAAAAATAGTCAGGTATTTTGAATATTTAATTGTGTGCGACGAAATGCATAGTTTTGATAGATCGATGAAAATGAAAAACGTAAAGTCATCAGAGATTCTGAATTTTATTCTTATTTTTGCAGTAAAAGCGCAATCATCCATGGGTGATTGTGTGAAAGTTAAACAAACAAACGACTGATCTCATATAAAAGTCTTATCGCCCCTAAAAATTTCTTACAATTTCTAACTAATTTTAAAATTTCTTTCCTTTGCTTGCCTATTAAAATGTAAATTGTATCATTGAAGCTTACTATCTGCCTGTAATAGCTGTTGTTTTAATTATCAGCTAACAGTATGAATTAAAAAAATTTT